GGGGGGGGGGGGGGGGGGGGGGGGGGCTTTGTTATAGGCTATAGCAGGAAGCCAGACAGAACAAGTCCCTGTCTGCAGAAACTTTATTTATTTTTTAAAGATTTTATTTACCTGACAGAGACACAGCGAGAGAGGGAACACAAACAGGGGGAGTGGGAGAGGGAGAAGCAGGCTTCCCGCCGAGCAGGGAGACCGATGCGGGGCTCGATCCCAGGACCCTGGGATCATGACCTGAGCTGAAGGCAGACTGAGGCTTAACAATTGAGCCACCCAGGCGCCCAAAACTTTACTTTCCCTTCCTAGCAGATAGCATCAGGCAGTGAGAAGAAGTTATTAGGCTTGAAGGAGAAAACGATTTGCCCAAATATGAAGCCATTAGATGATGGACCGATGGACCTCATCTCACCTAAGGATCTAGGCTTTGAGGCCATTTCACTTTTTTCTTCCTACGAGGTAGACACATGTAGCTGCCCAACCCCAACATGGCTTTTGGAGGAGGGGGACAGTAGAAGCACATCTCTGGTGCCGAGACCTCAGGGCCTGCCTCACTGAAGCCACTGTTTATTGTAGATCCTGAGCTTGAAGAGGCGGCCGCAGACGGTCCTCCCCCCGCGCTTCCTGTAGCACTCCCGCTGCTTTGCACGCCATCCTCTGTCCGCTGTCGGAACGGGGAGGGATGTGTTTCTCAGGAGTACCTCTGCGATGGCAAGCCGGACTGTCAGGATGGCTCGGATGAAGGGGCCTGTTCCCGGTTCTGCAACAGACCAGGTCTGTCTCTGTGCCAGGAATGCTGATTCAGCTTTGGGCACGTGGCGTGAATGACCAGCGTTGATCACAATCACCCTTGCTTCCCCTAGTTGAATTGTCGTAGCTAAAGGTCCCAGTCTGTCAGATTACAGACTCTGCTAGTATCCGTGTTATCACAGTTAAGTCAGATGTTTTACCAGGTGTAATTTTTAACTATCGCTTCCTTGCCTCCTCAAATTTGCTTAAGTGTTCCAATATTTGCCTCTATGAAGGCTGAGCCATAAACTGACCTGAATGGACCACTTAGAACAGATTTGGCAGTGTTTTTCAACAAGTTGTTAAAGTCACCAAACCAATATGAGCCCTTATTACTTGAACAAAACCTCGTTCAGCTTGCTAATTTAATTGACCTGAGCACTTTATTAAAGCTTGTTTATGGATTAGATAAGCTATGGAGCTTGAACAGTTAGGATGCAGTCCACCTACCCCTCAACCTCCAGGATGAGGGTGAGTTAATCTAACTTTAAACCTTCAGTAGGACTGAGTAGATGGCATGAGCCCTTGGTCCTTTCCACTTAAGGGGTCTTCCAGTGTCTGAACAGAAACCAGTGCATCGAGGAGAAATACCACTGCGACGGGGCTCAGCAGTGCTCGGATGGGTCTGACGAGCTGGGCTGCTGGAAACCCACTGAAGATTGTTCTTTACGTTGTGACAACAAGACCCGCTGTATCCCCAAGCGCTGGCTGTGTGACGGCAATGCAGACTGTTCTGACGAGAGAGATGAACAAGGATGCGGTAAGTACCGTGCAACTCATTTGTGGTAGGTTATGTTCTCCGGAGTTGCCACCAACCCTGGTTGAACAGATATCACATCATTGCTCATAGGAAAAATGTAAGGTGAGGTTTCCGAGAATCTGTCGTGATAATATTTTTGTCAACTAATCAACATATAATCTTGTTTTAGGTGTATTGCTGTTTAAAGACCACTTGATATACGTATTGTTGACTCATTAACATTGAAGTCACAGCCAACAGCATTATAACTCCTGCCCGAACAAAGCTTAACACATGTATTTGCTTTGTAAGGCAGCTCACAGACATCTCACACTAGGAACGCGAGACAGCGTTTCCGCACTACCCTTGGGGGCCCTTTTCAACAGCAGAATCCCCCTAAAGTACAACATGGGAAGTATGGCTCTAAATAGACCACAGAAAGGACACTTGTTTGCAGTGTCCTGAACTGAAACGAAAAGGCAGAGCGTTGCCTTGTTCCACCTCAACTGGAAACATGCGCTAGGCAACGCAAGTGTTTTTGCTACTTTGTGTATGCTTATCTTCAAATGACCATGAAAGTGTGGGAGCATGGATTTGGGGGGAGGGTTACGAATTTTGGCAAGTAGGTGAATGTGCAAATAATGAATCTGCAGATAACGAAGATGGACTGTACTTACCACGAAGTTAGCAGACTAGGATGAAAGGGTCTGAGCTGGAGGGATGTTGGAAATCATGGTACAACGCTTCCCTCTCTGTAACGAGATTCCCATTAGTGGAAAACCAGTCTACTTGACACAATGTTTCTTGAGCTAGAATCGACCATCTTGAAGATTTTAATTTTGATCCTAGGTCTTCTCATGCGGTGGGCTGTCCTTATTTTAAGATGTGATTGCTTTCCCCTCTTGTCGATGGGATACTCAGTCTTTCTTTTTAGTCTTCCCAGTGACCTGTTTCAAGAGCCTTAATCACATTGTAAGAATAGGGTAGAAGAGAGAATTTGGAGAGTTGAAGTGGGCAGAGGAGGAGGCTGGGGGAGGTACCATGATAGGATTGCGTACAGAGGTCACTGGGTAGCCAGACCATTATCAGTGCACTCGGACTTACGAGAAGAACAGCAGGAGGAGAGGCAGGAAGGAACCCCAAGTATAATTTACTTTTCAATGCGTATTTATGGTTTTGCCTAGGACCTGAGCTTTTTTTTCTTGAGCCGAGTCAAGCAACTTCTGTCTGTAGGAACTGAGCCCAAGAACAAAACATGTAGGGGATGCTGGATGTCATGAGAGGCTTTCTCTCCTCATGGATGTTGTCAAGGTCCTGAGAGGAGCCCTACTCCTCACCCTACCCCAGTGTCCCTCATGTGTCCCCTGCCTGTCCCCCCACCCTCATTCTCCAAGACGGGGTTTTTCTGGGCTAGCTTAGTAGGCCTTTTCTGGCCTAACACTATTCAAACCACCTTTGAGGGCTGGGGTTTAGTTCCCCGGGTGACAGCAGAAGACTGGAGAGTCTTCACAACGCTTCACATGCCTTCAGATGGCTTCCACATCTGGCTGAGTTCTTACCTAAAGCTTTGTTTTCCAGTTCATGCAGAATGCAGCGCCCCAGAATTTCGATGCCAGAACGGCCAGTGCATCTCGAACTCTCTGCGCTGCGATGGGAACCAAGACTGCGTGGACCACTCTGATGGGACGGCTGTCCTGGGACCTGGCCACTGCGGTGCCCGTTGGGGGAGGTGAAGTGCCGGGGGGGTGGAGAGTGCGTGCCCGCCGCATGGCTCTGTGACCGGGACTTCGATTGTGAGGATGGGACTGACGAGCAGGTAGCGCACCCTTCTTCAGAAAAATTGATTTCTCCTCACAACTGCAACGCTTGCCTTCCTTATAGAAAATGTGAGAAAACCCAAGAACAGAGAAGGCTCTCATCCCTACTGCCCAGAAAACCACTCGTCACAACAACAAAGTGTCCAGAGTGAGAAGAGCTCTTGTCGAAAGACAAACATTTAAGAGGTTTTTATTGTAGGTTTGCAAGTGTTAGGTCTTCATGGCCGTGGTGTAAATGTCCCCCCAGAGATCTGCTCCGAAGCTCTGCTTCCCCATCACTGAGAAGTGCACTGACCCTGCCACGTTGTGGGACATGCAGCCTGGCTTGAATCCTGCTGCTTGCGCTTGACCTGAAGAAAGTACTAACTCCCTCATGTTCTACTTCCTCATCTGTCAAATGGGTAGGAGATAGGCCTCGTGGTGCCTGAGGGGTTGAGAATGCATCTAAAGTTTCGGGGCTATTAGCAGGGGCACAGATGTCCCCTCCCTCCTCTGGTACATCCTGCCCCAGAGCCGAGTGTCCAAGTCAGGAGAGGTGCGAAGGATGCCGTAATGTTTAATGTGCTCGGGGCGGTTTTGAACTGGCAAAGGAATCCTTTTTTTTTTTTTTTTTTTTTTTAAGATTTTATTTATTTATTTGAGAGAGCGAGAGCGAGCGCATGAGCAGGGGCAGAGGGAGAGGGAGAGGCAGAGGGAGAAGCAGGGAGCCTGATGCAGGACTCGATCCCAGGACCCTGGGATCATGATCTGAGCTGAATGCAGACGCTTCACCGACTGAGCCACCCCGGCGCCCCCAAATGGCAAAGGAATTCTAAAGAAAGGTTCCAAGAGCACATTCTTATGCTTAGATTTCTCAAATGAAGACGTCCTGGTTTGACAAAATAAGACCTTTCTTTTCACTTCACAGCCAGGTTCGCTTTACCTAGACCTCCTCACCTAAACTCTGGCTGCTGAAAACGTTTTTCTGAGTCTTGGGGCTTCCTCTGGCCTCGTTGCAGGAGGGACTCCAGTGTTGTCTTGTAAGCCAGGCTCGTTCTCCCTCCGAGAACCCCATCCTGGGCTCTGAGTGCAGGTATCGCTGACCGAGTCACTGTCCCCTCAGGACTGTGACCCGGAGGAGCTCCGCTGTGGCCCCAGGCAGTGGGCCTGTGCCGGCGGAGAGCAGTGTGTGCCTGGCGTGTGGCGCTGTGACGGGCAGAGAGACTGTGAGGATGGCAGCGACGAAGCTGGGTGTAAGCGCAGGGGCACCCCCTGAGGGGAGGGGGCTCCCAGGGGCACCGGCTGCTTGCTTCCTCTAGGCCTGAGAAGCCAGCTTAGCCAGCAAGTGCCACGGGCCCTGACATCCATTCCCTGACCAGAATGGAGGTGTCTTGACTGTACATCCTTGCCGCGGGAGGGATGTTCAGGGCGGTGGGGAGCAGACTCTAAAGTAGAAAGTTATCCTCTCTAGGCCCCCCCAGGAAGTGCCAGAGCTCTGAGTTCCAGTGCCGCTCCCACGGCTGCCTCGCCCTCCGCCTGGTGTGTGACGGGAAGGAGGACTGTGCCGACGGCTCCGATGAAGGTGGAACGTGCTCGCCGTCAGCATGCCACCGAGCGCGGTGTCCCCACGCCTGCTACCAGTCCCCGCACGGGCCGGTGAGTTCATGCAGCTGTGCTCACCAGCAGCTGTCAACTTGGTTTAGTGACGGGGGCAACCTCGTCAGTCAGGCTGGCCCCCACTGCTCGTGAGGCCCTGAGTCTTATGTGGCTGAGCTGTCCTGATCGGTCCTCCTGTGTCCGCCGAGCCCTTCCTGGCTCCTGCTGAGTCCTGTCAGGTTCCTTCCCTGTGTCGTGTCTCCTGGAGTTTTACCACCCAGCCTCCAGAAACCCTGCTGCTGTGAGCTCCAGGCGACACTTGGGACTAAGCCACATGTTTTTGTGGACGTCTCTTCCGTGTGTGTATTTGGAATGTGACCTGCCCTTAAATCGAGGACTGCCCCATGTTCTGGTCTAGCATTATTAGCTGGCTGAACATCGTGAACTTAACTCTGATGGGCAAGTAGCAGGAAACAGTGTTCTGACGTCTGATCACGGTAACCTCTCCGTTGGCGGGCAGCCCGTTCAGTTCAGTCTCCCTGCCTCATACTGAATCTGCTGGGGTTCTAGGTGTCCTGGGCTGAACTTGGATCCCTTCCTTAACTCAGGACCCACGGTGGTGGCCAGGGTGTGAGGTGTGCGTCAGCGTTGACAAGACCGACGGAATGACGGGATTTTAAGTGAAATTGGTTCTAAGAACTTTTTTTGTTTTGAGCTGCTGAAATCAAGCTCATCGCCATGTGCTTTTAATAGCAAGGTCAGGCCTTTTCATCAAGGTTATGTCTCTTTGTCTTCAGGAAGTCTTAATGTTTTGAAACCCATTCAGGTATGTGCTTGTGAGCAGGGCTTCGAGCTGGGGAGCAATGGCCAGGTCCGCAAAGATGTGGACGAGTGTGGGAAGCCGGGCAGTCAGCCTTGCAGTCAGACCTGTGTCAACACCCAGGGCTCCTACAGCTGCACGTGTCACCCTGGCTACTCGCTGGAGCCCGATGGCCACACCTGTAAAGCAACAGATACGCTGGAACTGGGATGTCTCCTAAGACCTGGGTCAGGACCTTCGAAGTCCTGAATCTCCCAGGAATACAAATGTAAACCTTCTTTCTCAAGTCTTAAATGCTCCCGCCTGCTTTCTGTCTGCCGTGCAAGCCTGGCACATTCTCCAGATCCCCTTTTTAAAGGCAGCAGTTCAGATGGAATTAGATCTGAAGGTGTCGACAGATAAGCCAGCATGATGACAGAACCACGACTCTGGCCCCTGTAGCCACAGGTCAGCCTTACCTCAAGTGAGAATAAATGTCAGAAGTCTCGATAAGCCCTTCTTTCCAGCCCACCTACGCTTACATACTTAGTTAGAAATTTTTTTTTCCAGTTTATGCTACTCATGCCTTTATTCTAAGTATCTTTAAACTGTGGGTATTAGCACAAGCATCACATCGAAGGGAGAACCACCAGCCAGCTGGTGTCCCAGTCCTGGCAGCGAGAAGGCCAAGACTACTTTGTTCTCTTATTCCTTAGCCAGGGCTGAGTCCAACATTCAGGCTCCGTAAGGCCACATGCTGAACACAGTTCTTATCTGGCAGGTACTGAACCAATCTTGCTGGTGGCGCTTCAGTTCAACCTCCTCCTCTATGGCTTGAGGAGCTTGAAGGAAGACATTCTGGCAACTGTAGACAAGAACGTGATGATTGTCTCTATTGACTATGACTTAGTGGGGCAGAAAGTCTTCTGGACTGATCTCGGTGCAGAAAGCATTAAGTGGATAAGCATGGACACAAAGAAGAAGGGGACCGTGGTGAAGGGTATGTCCCCTGTGCAGGCTTCATCCTGCCCTTATGAATGACACATAACATGAAAAATGGCTGTTAACATTCTAAACATTGGTTCAGTGAAATCTTCTTAACTAAAAGGGACCAAGGCCTGCTAGTGGGCTAGAAATGGAAAGCTGCATTGTTACCTCAGTAGACCACGCGAGTCTTCCAAACTGTCAGCCAGTGGCCGTTGTTTCTAATGGTCATCTTCCTCTACAAATAGAACCTTGGAGGAACTTAAAAGATTGCTCTGATGGAGATGTGTATACCAGTTGTAAAATGAATTAACATGGTATTCAAGTCTGATGCCTATGAGCTGAAACCTAGTAAAAGCCATAATGTAACCTAGATCCACATGGTGACTGGTTTCTGCTCTCTCTTCAGGGATAAAGTCAGACTGTATAGCGGTTGACTGGATTGGGAGGAACCTCTACTGGGTGGATGGGACAGCTGGCCGGATTTTGGCAGTTCAGCTGACCGCTGTGTGGAGAGGAAAATCCGAGCACACGATTGTCCTGGATGACTTGACTCAACCGCGGTCTTTGGCTTTAGATCCCCTAAATGGGTGAGTCTGGGGGTCAAAATGCCAGTCAAGTCTAGTGCTACTTTGGTTGTGTTCCCTCAACACAGAATGAGTAAAAAAACCTATCTGACTTGACTTTAAAATCTTATGGTGATGTGGGTCAACCATACGTATAGTAATCTTAAAACCTTCTGATAAAAGTTCTTTATTTCAGTGAGGTGAGATATAGGTGTTCTCACTTGGTGGCCCACCTGTACTTTCTTCTGTGAAAATAATTCTCCATTCAGAGGTATATTTTTTCATGGCTTTAAATGGCAGGAGGAAGGAGAATGGAACTAGGGATAGGATTTATTTTTTTTTAAGATTTATTTATTTGAGAGAGAGAGAGAGAGAAAGTGCAAGCAGGGGGAGGGGCAGAGAGAGAATCCTCAAGCAGGCTCCCCACAGAGTGCAGAGCCCGACGCTTGGCTTGATCCCAGGACCCTGGGATCATGACCTGAGCTGAAATCAAGAGTCGGATGCTTAACTGACTGAACCACCCGGGCGCCCCGGGGTTGTGTTTAATTTACACTAATGTGCTTGGTAGTAGTGGGGGAAATAACTGTGTTGTGGTTGAATCTAGGTTCTTCCCTCCAGAGTCCTTTCTCTCTGGAAAAGCCCGGGAACTTAGAGACAACATTTCCTAGCTGTCAGAGCCAAGCCCTCGTTGGGGTGGCCATGTGTGTGTCAAATGTAAGAACAAGATGGAGCAAAACTTAGGACCGAAAGGTGACCCAGACTGGGTACACTCTCTCTGCTTTTCTCACCTTTTCAATACCTTCAACCCGGAATCTGTTACCATGGTCCTCAGAAAATTGGCAGTAGTTTCTGAGGCATCTAATGGCCTTGACTGCGACCCGTAAGGTCCGAGGTGCACATCTTCCCATAGAACCAGCCTGTTCTCTAGCCCAGGAGAGATTGGTCCAGGAACTACTGGATTCCTTGGCTGCTTATAACTGTCATGATATTTTATCTCCAAGTGATGACTAAACAAGCATCATAAGATTCCAAGGGAAACTCTTTTTACTTCACAATTTCACATAAGGAATAGACCAAGTTTGAGGAAAAAATAATTGGGCTAGAAATCAGTGGTTTAAGGGATGAATCAATATTGTCTGTCAGGTAATACTTTAAAGCTGACTTTTATCCACACAGGTTAATGTACTGGTCTGAAATCGGAGGAGAACCTCAAATAGAACAAGCTGGGATGGATGGTAGCAGCAGAAAAATCCTCGTCAGTCAAGGTCTTGGCTGGCCAACCAGCATAGCTCTCGACCAGTTGAGCTGGAAGATATTCTGGTCTGATGACAAATTTCACTGTATTGGCTCTGCTAATCTAGATGGTACTGGTGTTCATGTAAGTATTCCTTGGTATTAGGCTGTGTGTGATGTCTTATGCCTTGTATAAAACTCATCCCAGAAACCTCATCATCCCCATTCTAGATGTTGCAGCTAACGCAAATCAAGCGCCCCTTTTCAGTCGCTGTGTTCGAAGATGAAGTCTTCTGGTCTGAGATGAAGACGAGAACAGTACAGCACATGAAGAAGACCACAGGCAAGAACAGAGCTGTCCTCTTCAAGCGTTCCCAACAGCCTCATGGACTCAAGGTCTACTGTGTACTCTTCAAAATATCCCCCCTAATTCTCCCTGAAAAGGCTACATGTATGAGCTTCCCAAGTACAAACTGTAGTGACCATCTTCCATCATGATTAAAACAAGATTTATTCATTTGCTGTTTGTAAGGATTCAGGAATGCATAGTGACATCCAGCTATGCTCTTGCAGATAATGCACAAAGTGCTCCAGCCCAAGTCTCCTAATCCTTGTCTGGACTCTGGCTGTTCTCACTTGTGCCTTCTGAGCCCGCGATCCAAGGGGAGCTGTCATTGCCCAGTGGGACTCCTGCTGGCGGATGATGGCATCACCTGTGTTCCGCTCGAGGAGTCTGCATTTCTGTTCCTCGTGTTGCCCACAGTTATCATGCAGGTACTGTACCGTAGCCTCACTCACATGTCTGTGCCTGGGCTGTGGTCTGTTTCAGAACTGAATAATTAGAATTCTCCAGGCACAGTGATACATAGTAGGGCCCCTGGCCCTTGGAGTAGTCTTTTTTTTTTTTTTATTTATTTTTTATTTTTAATTACTCCTTTTAATGTAATTGCTACACCCATTGGTCTCAAACTCACAACCCTAAGATCAAGAATTGCATGCTCTGCTGATCAAGCCAGCCAGGCGCTCCCCATCCCCCACCCCCGGAATATTCTTCAAAAACAACTTAAATTTTAGTATTTACTGTGTGCTGGGCGCTATCATGACCAAAATAAAGGGGCTATGTGCTAAAGACTCCTTGAGAACTCGTATGCCAGAGCTAGGTTAGGGATCTGAGATAGGGTTCATCTAGTGTAGTTGTCCAAGCATCTCACCGATGATATAGAGTAATTCTAAATCCAAGCAACTCAGCTGGGTTCTAGTTTGGTGAGGGGGAAGTACATTTTATGAGGGAACTTTTCTTAAGTCATAGGAGATACCAACAAACAAGTCACTTCTGACTTCTACCATATAGAGGGTTTATCAACTTGGACACTTTAAAATGACAAATGTTGGGGTTGGAGGATTGACTTCAGTTTCAGTAAGATATTACTAGTGGAGTTTCATTTAAAGGGGAGGGCCTTTCATATATGAATGTATCCAAACAACACATTATACACCTTAAACTTAGACAAATGTTATGTCAATTATAGCTTAAACATTTACAAAATAAAGGGGAGGGCATTTAACAAAGGAGTCAATCTTTGAACCACGTGGATTCAAGGACTTTTAAGTGCTTAGTACTCCAGGAAGGGGGAGAAATAATGGCTATCTCTTTTTAGATGACAAATTCAGTTTTTCATACATTCTAAATATTGTAACATTAATGCAAAATCAAGATGAATTATACTAGATTCAGCTGGTGCCATCCACCTAATTTTTTCCCCCATAGATTTATCTGAAAAATCTAGAAGCTTTACTAGGACAACCAGCTTTACCAGAACATAGGGATACTTCCCTTTACCAGTGTGAAACAGCTTGCATCCCTGGACTACATAGTCCAGGAAAAGGCTTTCTACCTTTCAGAGTTGGATAATGGTGATATCAGGCTACTGAGGCTCAAAGAATCTGGAAAACTCTCTTGGAGGAAAATCATATCTGTGGAGGGAACAGTGATCGACCTTGCTGTGGACTGGTTGAGTGGAAACATATATTGGATTGACAGTGAGAATCCTCACATCAGTGTAGCTTCCTCAAAAGGCCAGGATCCCACTGTCCTGGTCAGTGAAAATCTCTACCGCCCAACCTCTGTTGTGCTGCACCCACCCTCTGCAGTCATGTGCTTTGTGGACCTGGGTGCCCAGGATGATGGTAGGCGTGGGTCCAGCATTGAATGTGCCTCCATGGACGGCAGCAGGAGGAAGGTGCTGTGGCAGAAATCCCAGGTCCCTGAGGGCCTGACCTTTTCGGATTCGGGAACCCGAGTTTACTGGGCTGATACTGGTAAGCAATTATAACACCCCCTAACCGTGAGTCTGAAGGACTTTGACCAGAGTGAAATAGTGACGTTCTGCTTTCTGGTCTTCAGCCATGACTTCAAACAGCTTTTAGGTCTGAGTTTACATATTCTACACCACCTTCCAAACAAACCCAATGATTCCCCATTCTGAGTAGAATGTAATAGCCTGAAGAATCATGCAGGTGTCCCTTTGTGAAGGAATAAAATCGAGAACTTAACAAATGTGCATGAGCAAATCTTTGGTGTATCACTGTTAGAGTAGAGTGAATGAAGAACCGTCCTTCAGAGAACACGTGGTAGACAATGTCCTCCTGGAGGGGAGGCAAGACACGCAGAGCTGTAGGATAGAGTGGAGCTGTGCGGGCTAAGTGCAATTAACTGAGCCTCTCTTTCCGGGGAGAGGACTCAGAGAGAGTAGTCAACAAGATGGCTCTAGATACAGAGTGGACCGCAGAGGAATCGAGGGCCTTACCCTCTTTACATTTGGCCAAGGCATGATGTTCTGGATGACAACTGGTGATGGTAGGTCTTATTCAACATCTGATTGTCTTTGTGATCTGAATTTACTCTTGGGTCTCTAAAGCGAATCTGCTAATGCCTAGCACTGACCTTTGGCAAGGTCTTTCTTCTGGAAGAATAATGAAGCAACTTCCCTAATCTAACATGTATGTATAACAGGGATTCTATGACTTGGGGAAACTTTGACTTATTTGGTCATTCTTTATCTATGAAGATGCTTAATGCTGTTCTGCCTGAGATTTCTGGCTTTCCTCTGAAGCTCTCTGCTTTAGACACTGTGATGTGGTACAGAGAGAACTGGACCAGGAATTGGAACCAGGTAGTGTAACTGCTCTGTCAGTTAGTAGCTACAACAGCTTACCCGCAAAACGAGGGCAGTACCTGTCTCAGTTGACTCACTACATATACAAGTACGAGGTGAACTACAGAATATTCTGTACTTGCAGGATATTACTAGTATTTAAAGAGATTTGCCTAAACAACAGTGTCCTAGTATGTTTTTTTCTGGCTAGAGTCTAGATTTGGTGAAACTGGAAAGTGCTATTTAAAATCTCTTTAATATTTCCAAATGCCGGTCCATTGACCAGTTGGGCTGGCCACATCACAATTGCAAAAACAAGTTGTCAGATCCTACCCCCAGAGGTGCTAATTTATTAGGTATGTGGTGAGACCTTTGCTAACTTTTAAAATCCACTGGTGACACTTATTGCAGAAAGCCATTTGCATATATGTTCTAGAACAATGTTTAAAATCATTACCCATCATTTGCATGGACTGTATTTAAGTGTCTCATATCCTAATTATCTATCTTTGCATATCTGGATGTATATGAATGCTCAACATAACTTACACTTGACTTTATTTTGGAGGAAGGCATAGAACTAGTTTTCTTTGTCTTGAAATTTCTTCCCAGAAAAAAAAAATTTAGAAAAACACATGTCTCTTCTGTAAAACTCTTGTTATTCAACTGGAGTTTATGCAGATGGGTGACGGTTTTCATAGGGAGCAATTTTCTTTGCACAGGAAGTTGTCTTAAAATTAAAATTTGCTTTTCTTAAAAGTATTTAAAATTTGCTTTTCTTAATGATTGTTCACTGGCTTTTGTTTCAGCCCAAATCACTAAAGTTTGGTACAGCAAGGCAGAACTTTCAGAAAACCAGTGGTTCCAAATAGACCAGAAGATTGTGGATTTAAAAGTTTATAGTAAACTTAGTCAACAGGGTAAGCAACTTTGCAATGATTACAACAACACTGAAGCCGGCTGAATTTCCCTGTGAAGGGGATCCTCTGTCTCCTGCAATATCTCCTTGAAATGGCTTTGTATTTCCCACCAAATTATTTCTCTGGCAAGTTCTTACAGATCTGCATAACTCTCTTGTCTTTATTCAGTTATATATAGTATAGTTCTGGTATGTAATGAGTCCTGTTACTTTTCTAGGCGACAAAACAGTGGTAAATATATGGGGCTGGAGTTTGGTATAATTTTAAGTTCTATTGTAGATGGAATTCATCTGTGGTATAATTGAAATCATCTTTTAGTTCTGCAGTGGAACTAGTCTTTATTCTACTTATTGTCACTTGTATCTACTTGTGATGTTAACTAATCCTTGAAATACCAACTTGGGGGTACTCAGATGTTTTTCTCCAGTGTTTCAGTAGAGTGATGATGGGCTTAGTTAAAGTAGTAATATACAGTCTTTTCCTAGTCGAGATGAACACAATGTGAGCTCAAATGTTAACCACATCTGCCACTACCATGGATGTTGAGTATATTGGTCTTAAGCGCCATGTAGAGTATATTGGTCTTAAGTGAATGCTGCTCCATTGCTTTGTTTTGGAAAGCTAAACTTTGTAAACTAGTGTTAGTCATGCTTAAACTTCTGAAGTCTTGGCTTTTCGGAGAGAACCTTCTCAGAATTCTTCAGTGTGATTAATGGTCATCCAAGTGGTGATCATCTGTGGCTTAGTTCTGAGAAGCAGAAGGTGGGTCCTTGCCACTCTTGTGGTAGGTTTTATCTGTGCTGTATACATACCTATTCCACAGTTTCTGGAATATCTCAAAATAAGACCTTACTAGAAGTTAAACCTTGAGATCTGAGACTTGCAGAGCCACGGTCAGCTATAAATGGCTGACTTACTACCCAGATTCTTAGGGATAACAGACACCACAGCCTTCATGTTTTCATCTAAAGAGAGCTTTATTTCTAAGACCCTTCTAGTTTTGATGTTGGGTGCTTGGTATGAGGGGAAAGGAGAACTCACAATGGGGTCTTGGATGGGCCAGAGTTCAGCTCAATTTTTATTAAGCTGGTCCCTTGTCTGAACGAACTCCCAGCCTTCTAAAGCCATCCTTACCCATGAAGAAGAATCACTGATCACTTCATACCTGGTTGACCAAAAGGAGTTAAACTGAAAAGCTATCCACTCTGGAAAAAACATTTGGGACCTGTAACTCTGATAGCGTATTTGTAGAACATCTGCAAAAGACCCTTCTGAAACCACCTAAATCAATGTGTCTTTTTGGGGGTCGATCCACAGGTAGTAACAGCTGCTCAAAAGACAATGGAGGCTGCCGCCATATGTGTTTACCCAACCCTGAAGGAGTGACTTGTAAATGTCCCAGTGGGCACTACTTGGCTAACATAAGCAAATGTGTTGAAGCTATCCCGTGCTCTGAACCGTCCCAGTCCTGTAAGGATGGTCAGAAGTGCATTTCCATGGAGCAAGTTTGTGATGGTCATGCTGACTGTCTGGATGGATCCGATGAGCTGAGCTGTGAGTAATTCCTATCTAGGAGCCCACTGTTCATCACCATACATGATATACTTTGAATATTTAATGAAATAATTCTTAATATCTCAATCTAATTCTTAATATCTAGTTCTATAGTATTCCTGAAGCTTTTATGCTCTCAATCATTGCCTTTTATTACTGGCATTTTTAAACTGAACAACATAAAACTTCTAACTATGGGCAATTGGCTATAGATTATGTGGACGCCTTCTGGAAAGCTAATGAGCTCTCTGATTCAGTTTTAGAATGGGCAATATGATAGCTCCAAAGTGCTCAACAGTTTGTATGTTGTCTGAAATAGCACTTATTTAACAAGATTTGATTCTGTCCATTTAAATTGATCGCATAGTGAGCATAGCCCAGGAGGAGGAGGTGGGGTTAATGATTTAACCTGTCTTGGCTCGGTTCCCCCTTTTTAATATAGAAATAGCACTTTCTAGGGGCGCCTTGGGTGGCTCAGTCATTAAGCATCTGCCTTCGGCTCAGATCACGATCCCAGGGTCCTGGGATCGAGTCCCACATTGGGCTCCCTGCTCGGAGGGAAGCCTGCCTCTCCCTCTCCCACTCCCTCTGCTTATGTTCCTCCTGCTCTCGCTATCTCTCTCTGTCAAATAAATAAATAAAATCTTTAAAAAAAAAAAGAAATAGCACTTTCTAACTCAAAGAGTTACGGAATACAAGAGAGTGTGAATAAAGCTGCCATATTAGCACACACCATTGTCAAGTGACTTCCTAAATGCTGGCTAGTAGATGGTTGTTACAGAAATGCTGCTGCTGAATACCGCCTTCATGGAAGGGTGTTGTCATGGCCAGTCAGCTGAGCAACTGTGATATCCAATTCTGTGGTAGTCACTATCCTCAAATTCTACACCACTCCAGTGGTAGCCAAGTCATGTAAGCCGTGGAATTGAAGAAACCGTGGGCTCAGCCCCGAGACTTGTCATAACTAATAAGGAAACAAACTGGAAAAGGAATCTTACAGTGAAGAGTGCTTACCGACTTCTCAACTTAAATCCTCATCCTCCTCAAAGCTGAGGAGTTGGAATACGAGTTGTTCCCCCTAATGACTTCATCTTAAATAGAAAAGCTAACAGATTTTGATTCCCAGAATTGATTCTCGTGAATGAGGGTGGTTTTCTCAAAAGCCCCATGTTACAGTGACTCTAGGAGGCAGGTCAGTGAGTGAGGAATGGATCGCCGTCCCGATCTGGTTTTAGAACTAAACCGGAAGCCTAACCCACCCTCACATGCCCTCCCATCCTGATGACCAGGGGTTGGCTCTACTCCTCAATAAGTATTTCACGCTGACTTGTACATTAAACTTTTTCTGGGGGGATGGTACTGAGCATATAAAGCTAGACTGCCTTCCTCTGTATATACCCAACTGTCAAGGACCCCAAACTGCCCAGGAGAAGAAACGCTCCTGTAACACCGGCCTGAGGCAGAGGCAGCGGGTGGTTTTATTGGTAACACTGCTGCCTTCCCTCCCCGTAGTTTGGTCTTTGGTATTTCCGTATGGAACGATGCTCGTGCCAACAATGATGGGGGATAGGGTACAATGTCTTACACGCAAACCTAACTTTCAGATTGTCGGTTAGAAGCATCTTGTTGCCTACTCCCTCCCGCCCACTACGGCCACCAAATCTGGTCCAAGATTTGCAGCTTGTAGATCTTGTGAAACCAACAGTTTACTTGGACTAAAAAAAAAAAAAAAAAAAAAATTATATTTACAGATAAACATACATCTCAAAAATCTTTCTAGATATTTACCACTTAGACCTACCATACTATGCTTTATAGAAGAAACTATTTTTGTAGCTGAGGGGATCTGCCATGGCTAAAACTGGGCATACCATCGTTTAAAAATAGAGTGGTATGATAGACTGGTCCCAAAACCAAACATTTTAAGTGCCTTAGGATATGCAGGGATTTTTTTCTATATGTTTTTAATAGCTTTATGGTTGGCCAAAAGGTAATGGTAATGATTTGATGATTTCATAAATTCAAACTTATCTGGTTGTCTTCTAGAGTTCTTGTTCTTCTGAAATCCTTTTTAACTGACAAATATGTGTATATACACACACTCATACCTGTTTTTGTAGGTACCTATCCAGATAAAACCCATTCAACACCAACATCTAAAAATGCAGAGGCTGGAAAAAGGTTGACTCCAAAAACTGCCCTACCTCTCCAAGCTACCAAGTCCACCAAGGCTAGATATCCAGGTCCAGAAGGGATGAGTTATCCTGTCAGAAAAACACTAATCCCTCCAATTCCTGCTAGAGAAAGCAAGACCCCAGAAACCAAGGAAAAAGGCGAGCTTGTGCAGCCCAAGGACTCACAGAGGGCAAAACATCTGCCCTGTAGCACGGACTTCTGTAATGGTAGGGGAATCTGCACAATGGTAGGTGAGCTGAGGAAGTGCCGCTGTCTGATGGAATATGGCGGGGAGTTCTGTGAAGAGCCAGCGCATGGACCTGCCCCTGGCTACGTCGCCCTCAGCTTAACCATTGTCTTTCCAGTTGTGCTAGTCCCTCCGGGAGCATTTGTCTGTTTCAGAAGGGAGCACAAATTAAAAAGGTGAGCAGCTCTTAATGTCCTCATGGGAGAGTTCATTTCAAAGAAGGCTTATAGGATTAGTGGGGGTAGAGGTATGACTCTTCCCCTAAGAGCTTGTCCTCTGAGGAAAGATTTAGGGGATGAAGCAGATGACCCTGGAGAGACAACAGAGGCCACCTCTTTGAGCCCCGGGGCAAATGCCATTGTAAGGGATAGGAGGCCTTCGTGCAGGTAAAATCTGCCCCAGCAGCAGTCACTGGCTCAATTGCAGGGATGAAGTGAGGAGATTCTTTACCAACGAGGCAGAGTTCATGCCAATGACTGGAGAAAAAAATTCAGAGATGGGTTAGTTTGCCGGGGCTGCTATAACAAACACCACAGACTGGGTTTCTTAAACAACGGATTTATTTTCTTCGTTCTGGATGCTGGAAGTCTGAGATCAGTGTGTCTGTGGGATTGGTTTCTCCTTGAATTATAGGTGCAGACTTCTCCCTGTGCCTTCACATGGTCTTCCCTCTGTACATGTCTGTGTCCTGATCTCTTCTTAGAAGGACACCAGTCATATTGGATTCGGGCCCAAACTGATGAACTCATTTTAACATAAATACCTCTTTAAAGACTCTATCTCCAAAAACGGTTGGTTACACTCTGAGGTACTCGGGCATAGGACTTCAACATACTAATTTGGAGGGGATACAACTCAGCCCATAGCGGGAGGGGAAATGAACTCGGGAAAGACTTAAAGCAAACACATTAAGTTTTGCCTGGGAGCAAGAGAGATTAAAGAAACAAACAAGAGTAACAAAATGCTGGCTTAGAGTAGGAATGATGACAAAAGTGGCTTTAGTATAAGAAGTTATAGTAACTGAAGACACTGATTAGGTTACACATGCTGGTTAGGGTCCACGCATATGCTGAGAAGGGACATTAAGCAGCCTATGTATCAAGAAATATAAGGAAAGTTTGAAAAGTTACATCTCTGTCCAGCACTCACAGACTGGAGAAAAAGGCAAGGAGAAATGGTGTATCTTTGCCTAAGGTAACCCTGGTTAATAGATTACTAATGTTAAGACTGACTGAAATGCTACCCATGGGGTTTTGATGGTTGCCTCAGGTCTTTCCACCACATTAACACGCTTTCTTAGCTCACCTGCATCCAATCGCCACTAACTTGTCCTTGGATTCTGTACTGCCTGACCCCAATTAGTAGAGTCCCCCAGTTGAGAAGATGTATTATTTTGGAAGTGAATGCCTACTAACAAATCATAATTGACACAAGTATCACCCATTCTAGATCATTTGATTTCATTCAAAAGACAGAAAATTCCCATAACAATAGCCTTTGATAGGGGTTGAGCTGGCCCTTTCCAACCATCGACCCATCCCAGCTTCAATCTCAAGGAAACACTCTTTTCTTTCTTTCTTTCTTTTTTTTTGGAAAACTTTTTTTGACTCTGTTTCTTTGATTCTTAGAAATAGTGCAGCAGCGTCAAAAAATTCGACCCGCCATAAAGAAAACGGTCAAGAAGAGGAGAATCTAATGAATAGTGAGACTTTTGTCAACGAAGCCTATGATGAGCAGGTATGCCTGGGAAGTGTCTTTGAGGAAAACAGATTGTGAGATACAGCTAAAGAATGCCCCTTCTGAAAAATCTGAGCTGGGTGAAAGTAGGCAGTGTTAACTTATAGAGCTTTTTGTAATGGGTGGATGATGCTATTATGTGTATCAAATGAATGTTCAGCAACTTGTTTATCTTTAGACTCTGTTCAATCTCTAGTTCAAACCAAAGTGAAATGCACATGAAATAGTAATCAAGACATTCAGCTTTTGGTGAACTTCCACAAGGGGCTCAGTCCTATGGTGGGGTGGGATGTTATTAGGGTTAGTTGGAGTTACCCCGAAAATTATGTCCGCCTGTGATCTCTCCTAACCTCTCTGTCACTCGACCACCTCTGTGTTTTGCTTTGTTTTAATGTAGTGTGTATTCAGGGGCATCTGACTGGCTCAGTCAGTAGAGCATGTGACTCCTGATCTCAGGGTCATGAGTTCAAGCCCCACACTGGGCATAGAGCTTATTTTAAAAAAAAATAAATCAATAAATAGGATTTAAAAAAACATATATATATATATATTAAGGGGTGCCTGGCTGGCTCAGTCAGTGGAGCATGTGACTCTTGATCTAGAGTTTGTGAGTTCATGTCCCATGATGTTGTGTATAGAAATTACTTAAAAATAAAATCTTTAAAAACAAAACCAAACCAGGAAAACTATCGTAGTGTATATTCTCTAACTTGAAGTCTCTTTTCCTACAGGAATTGTTAACTTTACAAAGTGACTAACCTGATAAAAAAGGAGCTGAAACATCTCAATAAAAATTGTTTAGATGTTGCACTGTGTACTGTTTTAACGTCTGTAACTATGTGCTAAAATGGTAACTTATCAAAATAACTGCTTTTTAAATTGGAGGAGGTCATCCGGGTTTGTTGGGGGGTGCTGGAGGACTGAATAGTCACAGACAGGGTCCAATTTCAGTACAGGCTTCGTGTGATTTAGGTTAGGGTTCACCTGCAGCAACTGTCGAATCCCAGCGTGCCTGGCCCATTGCTAGTCAGAGGTTCTGGATTTGAATCTTGGCTCTGTCACTAACTTTGAGGTGTACTTAATTGCTCTGAACCAGCTTCTTCATCTTACAGAAGGGAATGATCTCTCTTAAATCTTTACCTCTCAGGTAAAGGTCAAGTTTCTGCAGTGTAGCCAGTGTTCAAGTATTAGTTCTTTATCACTCCCTCACAGATACGTTTTATTACAAAGTTAGTATTCGCTTTTGTTGGAACTTTATAAAAACTGTTTTTCTTACACTCTCACTTGATTCTAAAACTAAGCACAGTTGACCTTGAACAACACAGGTTTGAACTGCATGGGTCCACATATGTGCAGGTTGTTTCAATCAGTACGTACAATACTGTGAGTGTATTTTCTCATGATTTTCTTAGTAATATTTTCTTTTCTCTAGCTTACTTTATTGTCAGAATATAGCATATAGTACATATACAAAATATGTGTCCATCGACTGTAATGGGTAAGGCTTCTGGTCAACAGTAGGCTGTTAAGTTTTGGAGGAGTCAAATTATATGTGGATTTTCTACTGCAGTGGGTGGGTGTCCCAACCCATCTGCCCAAGGATCAACTGTACAAGTGAATCCACTTTACTGATATAGAAACTCAGACAAGTGATTTGTTTAAGACTTAAAGTGGGTGGACACTGGGAGCCTTAACATAGTTTTGCAGGTATGGACTGGGGTTCATCTTAATGACCTCTTGCCTGCTGGGGAAACACTCGGATGCTACTTAGATCCCAGGCTCCCTTTGACCCTCCAGATGACATCTTATTTCACATTCTTTTTTTTTTTTTTTAAGATTTTATTTATTTATTTGAGAGAAAGAATGAGAGAGAGAGAGTACATGAGAACGGGAAGGGTTAGAGGGAGAAGCAGACTCCCCGCCGAGCAGGGAGCCCGATGCGGGACTCGATCCCGGGACTCCAGGATCATGACCTGAGCCGAAGGTAGTGGCTTAACCAACTGAGCCACCCAGGCGCCCATCTTATTTCACATTCTTATGTAAGGAATCAAGGGCACTGAATTTGTGTTGGGAGATGGGTGACAGGAGTGTTGTCTAAAATTCAATAGCAACCTTGAGCAAATCACTTAATCATGAAACTGTTTCCCCGATGATAAGGGGACAACAGAACCTACATCAGGCCAATGGATCATCGTTTGAAAATACAAAAATGCCTGTGCACTCCTTTGGGCATGGGACCAGAGGCTGAGAACCTAAGTCCAAATTGTAAGCACGACTTGACTTGGAAGTCTTTTCTTGCTTGGATTTTTTTCTAGAGTCTTCATAGTTTCTTGCAGAATGCATTTGTGCAGGCTACCAGGCATAAAGAGAAATCCTAAGCTTATTACTGTGGGTATGGCACATAAAATTGACTGTGCCTTGCAGTCAAATATAAAAATTCTCAAGCACAGATCAACGTGACCGGAAAAACAAATGCTGGCGGCTCCGCCCTTCCTGAGGCTGGGAGACACACGCAGCCGGAGTTCAGTTTCCTCCAGCGCTTAGCTGTGTTTGAGGGAAACCCTTTCAGCACCGAAGCGCCCGAGACCCCTCTCCGCCACGGAGGGACTCTGGTTTCTCTTGCCACCTCTCCCAAGAACCATCTCCCGGCCAAGCTGGCCCTTGGCAAGGCTCTGCCTCCATCTGTGGAAAAGTGAGTAAAAAAGACATGAGAGTCTGGCTTGAAAACACGCACGAATGACGTGCAGCAGCATTATCACTTTGTCCGGACAACTTTAGCTGTCGCCTTCACCTCCTTCACACCCTGAGCCTCCACCAGCCTTCCAACGCTAGAGTTCTGGCTAGCTCCGACTTCCCACTTCCGGACTTCCGCAGGCCCCGCCTCCTGGTTAGATGCCAGACACATTCACCATTTCCTCTTCCGGGGAACAGCCAAATCTGTGGGTCATGGAGGCACTCCTCTCTACTTCTTATCCTGGCTTAGTTATGTCTTTTCCTATCCTTGGTTTCCTGTGAATGTGTGCCTAAGTATTATCCCACTTGAATCTAGTTTAATGCATCCTGTTTTGCTTCCCCAATTCAGGAATTTACAAGACACCGGGCTCCTGGGTGGCTCAGTTGGTTAAGCGACTGCCTTCCGCTCAGGTCATGATTCTGGAGTCCCGGGATCGAGTCCCACATCGGGCTCCCAGCTCAGCAGGGAGTCTGCTTCTCCCTCTGACCCTCCCCCCTCTCATGTGCTCTCTCTCTCTCTCTCATTCTCGCTCTCTCAAATAAATAAATAAAATCTTAAAAAAAAAAGAATTTACAAGACACCTCTGAAAGTCCTTTTCACTGGAAAGTCTTAAATAGAAATAAGTACCCATTCATAAGATTAACAATCCCTAGGCACCCCTGCCCCCAAAATTGGCTTTCATATGTCAGTTATATAATCTTACCTGTTTGGAGCAAAGGCATGTTAACTGTTAAGAACCTTCTTTTGTGATGATCTCAGTATCAGGTGTTAATTTCTTAATTTCTCTCCACCGAAATAGATGAAGCAGTAAACCCCATAGCAGATGTAAAATTTGAATTTCTTTATAGAAACTCAACATCTGTAACCTGGTGGTAGGTATGGGTTTTCTTCTAGAAGGACAAGGAGCTTTAGAAAAGTTCATTGGTGGGGGCGCCTGGGTGGCTCAGTTGGTTAAGACGCTGCCTTTGGCTCAGGTCATGATCCCAGGGTCCTGGGATCGAGCCCCACATCGGGATCCCTACTCAGCGGGGAGCCTGCTTCTTCCTCTCCCTCTGCTGCTCCCCCTGCTTGTGCGCTCTCTCTCTCTCTCTCTCTGTCAAATAAATAAGTAAAATCTTAAAAAAATATAGAAAAGTTCATTGGTTCATGCTTTAGGTTCAAAGAGCCCTATACAAAACTTGACCTTTTAGGTTTTTAGCTAGCAATTCAGTTAAACTCTTGATACTCGTTTTAGGAAACAAATGGGGGAGAGATCATTGATGATGGGAGGGATGCACCACGTTGCTACTATTTTAACTGCTGGAAGGCTTGTGAAATTCAGAGAAACCAGGAACTAGAACTTGGAGTTTGTTGCCATCAGATCAGTTACTATATTTACAGATCAGTCTGCTTCCTCAGCCTTCACTATTCACATTTACTGCTCTCAGCCTCATCTCATTCTTAAACTTCACTCTTAAGATACTAAATTTATTATTTTTTAAAGATTTTATTTATTTGACAGAGAGAGACACAGTGAGAGAGGGAACTCAAGCAGGGGGAGTGGGAGAGGGAGAAGCAGGTTTCGCGCCGAGCAGGGAGCCCGATGTGGGGCTCGATCCCAGGACCTTGGGATCATGCTGAGCCAAAGGCAGACGCTTAACGACTGAGCCACCCAGACGCCCAAGATATTAAATTTAGAAAGGCCGTGTCACTACAACTAACCCGTCTTCCCGCTTGTACGGATGAGAAAACTGAAATCTCACAAGGGCAGGGCTTCTGCTATTAGAAAGCCTCTGTCCCCCCAATTCTAAAATTGCAGTGGCCCTCAGCCCTGTGATGAATGGCAGCTCTTTGGGAGGCACCCGTGGTGGTTGGAGAGAGCCATGGCGGGGGCAATTGTTGAGTGAAGAGCAGAGGCGCTGGGTACCTGTGAGTGCACATGCTGGTCCCCGCCTGGACCTCACGCTGATTTAGGCGCTCGGCTGCGCCCACCTGCCTGTCGGAGGAGGCGTTGGACAGGCCCAGGCCAGTGGGACCAGAGGGCGGTGGAGTTGTCTTTACCGCGGGTTTTAAGCCCTCCTCAACACACGCCAAACTGAAGAAGCAAGCCTCTCGTCAGCCTTGCCCCCCCCTCCACCCCAAAAGCCTTGTGGGTAGTTTCCTTGATTCCGACAAAGGTCCTTGTTTTCCTGTGTTCAGCCCTGTGTGATGGAGATTTGCTGGAGAGGGTCATTTAGCTGCGCACAGTGAGGAAAGAGAGGAATGTACGCGGAGGCCATTGGGAAGATTGGATGAGAAATGCATACGAGTTTGGTTTTTTTTCCCGTCCCTGGCCCCTCACACAGGTTTTTATTTGAAGTCGTGATGGTGTCTCTCATTTTGTTCCCTTCACATGGAGAAAACCTCTTCTGTGATGTGTTGGGACCCGGGGCGGGGGGGCACCAGTTGCCTTGGACTGGTCTTTGCCAGCCATTCACGAAGTTGCTCCTGTGGCCCATTCCCCCGACACCCCGTGTCAGTGCACCTCCACCCCGGGTAGGCCTGTGGCCCTGTACAAGACAAGTTGTGTATAAGGCGAGGAGGCACTTAGGGTACAGAAACAGATTTTAGAGGTAACTTTAACTTAGAAAATTCTGACGGGCCCTGAACAAGTGTTAATACCCATTTTGGGACTACAAAGATACATAGAA